AGGCAAAATAGGGAAACTACCCAAAGTGAACCTTCCGTACGAACGTGGATAGGTGCGCCCGCTTTTACCACACTACTTTTCTCCCTTACTTCCCACCTTCCTCCGCGAAGTAAGTCTCCTTTCTAACTACTCTCCCACTAACTATCCCTCTGCTAAAACTAACATCAAAATCGAATGCGCCCTGCTTCAACCGCCCCCCCCGATGACCTGTCTCCCCGCCTGATTCCGTTAAGGATCGGGTGAGCTACACTTTGCTGACTGCGTCGGGCTCGTCATCCGCTATCTCCGTCATACTTCTGCGCATCCTCCTTTCCTCTACCACTGAACCTACTAACCCATCATCGAATCTAACATTCCCATCGTGTTCGCAATGATCAAGAACCCCGGATTAGCATGTCTTCTCGCTCGATTTCGTTCGAAAACGAGTGAGATGTGCGTTTCTCACTCCCCATCTCCTTCGCTTCTGCCATAGTCGCGCGCACTCAGCTTCTCAACTAACACTCCTTGTATTGATCTAGCAATCAAACTGACTACTGATCTGGAGTCGCCCTACTCCAACACCCCGATTCCGACGTTCGGTTCGCCCGATCTCATTATGAAACGGGTATGAACTCGAATCTCCTACTCCCCACCTTCTTTCCTTACCGCCATCTCTCGCGCACGGCCTTCCTTCCCAACCTTCTAATCTACCCTTCCTATGCAAAACCCGACTTCACCATGTGGTCCGCCATGGTCAATAGCCCCCGGAGCCGTCTCCTACTCTCCCGAAGCAAGGAGGGACCGTGGGCGCTCCTCCTCCTCCTCTACGCCTTAGCCCGCCAGTCGGCCATCCCCCGCTTTCCGACATGCACGTACCTGGCGCGATTCGTCGGTCGGGTCCGTCCGCTCTCTCCCTCCCTGCAACCCGTTGTATCTCTACGATCTGCTGCTTAGTGCAGCCCCGCCAGCCCACTATGTCGCACGCGCGTGCATCTGGCACGGTCCCTGGACCGGGTTCGCCCGCCTCGTACTATCTACCCTCCGCTATGCTGCCTCCTTCCTCCACCACGCCCGGTTTCTTTCTCCACCTCTCCTCGTTGTCGCCAACCCGCACTCCAGCGCACCTCGACAAGGTAATGCGGCCACATCCGAAACACACTCCCGACGGAACTCCAACAGGTCAAAACGAAAAAAAAGAGCAGGGAGGTCGCCCCACTTTATACACCTCAGCCTGGCGCGGGGGGGGGTGTGCTAATCCTCTTTTGTCATTCCGGTTCGTCGGACGTCCCGAAGGCCCTTGCGCGGCTGGCATAGCATGCCGCCTCCAGGCGGATCGGCCGCCAGGACGACCCAGTCGGCCCGCCGGTCCTCCTTCTTTCCCTTTATCACGCCTGTATCCGCCCTTCTCCCTCGTCCGGGTTCACTCCCGGACTTACGAGAGCTATGCAACGGCCGAACTGGCCACTCCACACCTCTGCGCTTGGTCGCACGACCCTGTGGCACCCTGGCGGGGCGACTGTAACCCCTGCCCTCGGCACTACCCAAGTGGGCACCCCCTTGGCCATCGCTCCATACCCCAGTCCCGCCATCCGAGTTCAAACGCGGGTTTGTATTTCCACAGCGCGTGGGTGTACCACTGAGGTAGGCCCTTGGATCCTACTTCATGTCCACTGTGTCGCGTCCTAAATCAAACGGGCGCGGTCAGGGTAGCCCCCGCGCAGCCACGAATCACAGCCGGCAATCGTATTGTAGGCAATCCCGCGACTACAACATACCCCCTGCGCGATTTCGCGTCCACCTACGGGTGTGAGATAAATAATACTAGTATTAAAACTTCGAAATAAATAATATATATATATACATATATACGGACATATAAGGACCGCAAAGCACGTGGTAACCAAGCGAAAGCTGCGGCCCCCGTGGTAACAAAAGGCGAGGGGGTTAGTCCTACCGGCCCATCAACCCCTCAAGCCTTTCCGCCGCGCTCCTCCGCTCCCTTGTCGCATGCCGTTGGCCTCGATCCCTGTGCCTGCTGCGTACCAGCCCGGTGCTGTAACCTATAGGGTTAAACCCAAGCCTGGTACCAATGGCCTCGACCCTCCTGGTAAAGGGGTGGCCTACGGCCTTTGGGCCAAGGAAACAGCTCCACACCACTTCTCGGCCCGCATTTGCACGAAAGACCACCGAAAAAGGTCTGCGCCGGCCTACCTGCCGTGCCGCGACTGCCCTTCCTTAATTGAATCCATCAGGCCCCATCATCTGGATTCCGCGTGCGTCTACACCGGCCCACTGAACTGCCCACCGTACCCCGTGGAACCAGAAAACAACGCACTCCTAGTTAGTCAGCTTAATCAAAACAAACAATTTGTTATAACGAAGCACGCCGACCGAAATTCACGTCGCGTCTTTTATTGCGATCAAAGAGAGAAAAATCACGCGCGTCTCGAACCTGCGCGCCCACACACTCTCTAGTCTGACCACGCTATTTAGTTAACGTAGCCCTCCAATATTGCTGCGTCTCACGCAGCATACTTAAACTTTTAGACTCAGCTTATTTTTTGTCACTTACAAAAACCAAGGCGGATACCCTTGTAAGGGTATTCGCTCCGACAACTTACCGGACCTAATTAAGCGACGTCCCCGTCGCTTCGCAGGATCAAAAAAAAAACTATCAATTTAACCACAGTCTCAAAAGTGCTGACAAGTAGGGTACCAATCCGATTAACCGACAGAACCAGGGTTGAGGCCTCCAATAATCCATACCAAACACAGCTTTATGCTGCCAAGATTCCAACCTGGGTCTCCGCCATCCTGACGCTCGGACGTCGGGATACTCCTCACTGTACTACAGCATAAGTTCCATTGGATTTCTCACTGTCCTCTTCCCTGTGCCCTAGACAACCGCCGACTCCTCGTTGTGTGCCCCTAGCCCTTCCCTTGAAGCCAAGTCTTCACTAGGGGCGCGGGCCCTAACCGAGACCTTCGAAAGCATTCTCTTGCCTTCCTCTCAAAAATCTTCACATTGACGCACGTAGCCGTACCACATAGATTCTCACATACGCTTTTCTGCAGTCTAGTACAGGAAAACCAGGTCTCCATCTTGGTCCACCATAGTCTGGGTGATCGTTCCTAATCTACGGCCCACTGCATTGTTATTTCAGCGGTAGTGCCTTCACGGGTTGCGCCACGATAGGCAGTTCCTGATAAGCATTCAATCAGGATTTCCTCAAAAGACTCATATGACTCGACTCTTATCCCACACGTCTCCGCAGGAGTAAAACCCTCTTAGGCGTTCACGCCCCTTTAAGTCTTTACTCCCTTGGCCAGACGCAGGCCCTCTGCTCAGGTTGTGCCAAACAGCGGCCAACACCAAGGGTTGCGCCTTAGTGATGCTAGTTATACCCCTAGCTAGGTCTTCTTATAAATATCCAAGATTAACACGAGTGGTCAGGCGGTGTGTCGCAACAATACAAGCCTACTGCGGGACTACTCATAGACCTGTCGCTTATAAGGTATTTTCCAGTCCCTCTGTGGGACAAAACAGAGGAAACACGACAACCTCTCCACAATCACAAAACAAAATCACCGCCTGATTCACAAGGCCGTGGCCTCCCAGCTTGATCAGAGCAAGAAAGTCACACATTTTGATGACATCTCTTAAAATGCACAATTTGCGACATCTAAAAATTCCATCAATAGTCACATAAAATTTCGGCCCCTCTCGTCAGTCTTTTATTACACAGAGTCAGACTTCTATTTATCAATCTTATTGACCACCTTACTCATAGAGGAGGTCTTAAATAGATCTCTCATTCATCCCTTTCTCTCTAGGATGAACTTTCCCGCGACCTTTTCTTTAACACATCTTCCCTCTCTGAAGGTGCGTCTTCCAAATAGATAATGGACAACCTTTTCATTCACAGGTGTCCCACTTTATCATATGATCCATGTTAAAAGGCTAACTTATGGGTCTTTTGCACAACTCAACAATAGAATACTCATCATACAAATATTCAGGATCCTCACATCCTTACACAAAACAGACTGCGCTTCCTTGCCTTATACTCGGCCCTCTCATCTGCCCAAGGGCAGGTCGCACGAGTATATCGGCGAGTATACAGTTCACATTCATCCAGATTCACAAAGTACAAAATACATCAGGCATTTTCTCGCGCATATTTCACACCAAACCATCATCCATCAAACCAGGACCACACAAGTGACTGTGAGAGTGATCGTCATATACAACAAGTAGTCCCCAAAAAGGTCTCGATATAATGAACACTCAGGGATAAAATATCCCATATGAAATGCCTCCAACATACACTCAGGGGCAGAACGCCCCATACACAAATGTCCCCAGATCGTAACCCACTCAACTCACTCAAAACCACACTCACACTGATGTCGTCCTCAAAGTACAAGTTGGGTCTGTCTCTCGAAGATCAGGGCGTAGGCCACCTAAGTATGTACACGCCTTATCTACCATGTCCCGGTCCTCAAGATGGCAGACTCAACAAAAACCCAACCTAAAGTGCCTGACAAAAGCAAACAACACCTAGGTCTACAGAATGTCATCCGATCATAACTCTAATCCTATACGCAACATGTCAACCATATAGGAAAACTCAGTCCTGGTCGCTCATCTCCTCCTGGTTTTGCCTATATAGTTGAGCCCTACCCCCATCTGCAGATCTCTCTACTCTCCTTCCCTGTCTATCATACATACTGCCTCCTTCCTCTGTAACCTTCCCTTCAGCCTTGTCCTTCACGAACTTAGGACACTGCAAGGCTCGATGCCCCTCCTCTGTACAGAAGAAACAGGATGTATCGAACCACTTCCTGGACCTCTTCTTTCCTCTCTGAGACCCTGGCGACGATGGTGCTTCGCTAGCCTCCCTGTCCAGCTCATGGCTCTGAGGCATATCCAAAGGCTCCTCTCCTGTCTCCACCTCCTGGGTACTCGCCCATGGTCGATCCTCAATCCCCCCTGGCCCATACTCATGTGTGCCCAACCTCTGGAGTCTGCCCTCGATGACACCCTCCGCCTCAATCCCCATCTCTCTCTCAAGAGGCTCCTCTATCCTTTACTCAAGTGAAAACAAACTTGTCTCCTCCTGCATCGAGTGCACTGCCTCAATGAGCACGTCCATAGATCCCTCTGTTGAGCCCTGAGCCGGCTCAATGCTGAATGGTGGTAATCCATCCTCAACTGCCAAAGGTACGACTGGGCCCGCCGCTGCTATAGGTAGCGTCACGAGCTCAGTAGGGGCTCTGAACTCGAAGGCCTCTCTCTCTGCCTCCCTCTGGGTTCTCGCCTCCTCTGGCTCCAGGATAACTCTCCCCATAGGTGGCTCCTGACGAGTCTCTGCTGCAGATGGTTGTCCTGGCAAACCATGTTCTGGCTGCCTCTGCTCCCCCTGCCGGCTGCTCACTGGCTTGTCCACCTCTCCCTGAGATCGCTGCCTCAGGCTCTCGATGATAGTTGTCTGACTGGCCACCAATGCCCTAAGTTCCTGGATTTCCACCTCCATAGCCTCCAGGCATACCCCATGGCCTGCTTCCTTTATCTTCTTTTCTGCCAGATCGCTGTCCAATAGCAAGTGTCGGTCAAAAGTTGCCTTGGCCAGGAACTTGATTTTGCGATCCAACCTTTTTTTTCGCCTTCCTTGCTACCCCAAACCCGACTCTGGTTGGCGAAGGAAGCTCCTCTCCTCTCTGCTCCCAGAAGTCCCTCCACATCTCTGGGATTTTCGGGGCCTTGGCTGTCGCGATGGGTGGCTGACCCGGAAGTGCCTCTAGTGTTTCCAATCTCTGCCTCTTCTGTTGCTGCTCCGGAAGTGCCCCCGCTGCCTCCAACCTCTGCCTCTCTTGCCATACCTCTTCTATCCTCCTGGTTCTTCTTGCCCTCTTTTCCTCAGCTGTCTCTCCAGTTGGCGCCCTTTCCCTCGTGCGGAGGTTGACCCTCTTCGGGATTTCTGCCTCCACCTCCTTCTCGGGCTGGCATGGCTCCTGGCGCGGCTCTGCAGGTGCTGGCTCCTCCAGGTCTAGGTGCTCCAGGGCATGAGCTGCTAGGTGCCTGTCAATCAGGGTCAAGGCTTCTCTCCTTACACAACTGCCCTCTCTCTTCTCCTTTCTGCTCTCCCCTCTGGCAAAGGAGTCTTTTCTGATGAGGGCAATGGGGTCTCCTCTCTCTGCAACATCTTTCCTGCCTGGCGAGTGCTCCCTGGTGCATCCCCGAGTCTCAAACCCACCGCTGGCGTCTAAGGGGGTGTGTCCTCTCCAACCTCTATCACTTCCTTCCCTGCACGTCTCCCCTCATCGCCTAGCTCTCTCTCTCGCTGAGTATCCTGGACCTCCTCCTGTGGCACCTCCTCTCGTGGCACCTCCTCTCGAGACACCTCCTCTGCCTGCTCTCCACGATCCTCACCGCGAGGTGACGCTCTCCACTGAGAGATATCTAAATGCACCTCCAACTCCCTCAAAGGCTCCTCAGACGCTGGCGGCTCTTCCTGTGTGCGTGCTGGCACCTCCTCAATCCACCCTCGGCAAACCGATGGAACTCCACTGGTTCCAACCCACACTCAGGGTACGCCCCTCGCTCCTCAGCCTTTGGCTCCGGCTCCGGTTCCTCCTCTCTCCTAGCTAGGGCCTTCCGTCCTCCTCGAGATGGCCTCGCCTCCCTGGGCTCAGGGTCCCTCTGCCTCTGACTCCTCTGACGCCTCTCAACTCTGGGCTGAGGGGGCTCTGGCCGTCAAAAGGCCTCTCTTAGATGTGCCATGCAGCTCTCCCAGTCCCGGGCCATGTCTCTGACCTGCCTAGCCAGCGGTCTTTCCGCCTTCCTGGTCCAAAGTGGTAGTGTCTGCATCCAATCGTCTCTCGGTATACGCTGCCCCTGCATGAACCACTCAAAAGCGGGGATGAAGTCCGACGCATTCCCGACCTCCAGGCGGATCGGCCTGCCATCAGGTCCCACAGGCGAGGGTCGCAGCTCCTGCATCCTCATCTCCACCTCTGACCTCGTCGTCGCCTCCCTACGGATCCGCGCGATGGGCCCCTCGAATCTGCCGACTCCCCTCAACCCCTCAATCCCCCGGGTCACGGTCCAGCCCATACGACACGCATGCTCCCAGAAACTGTCAAAGAATAACTCGATGTCGTCACCATCGTACTCCGGAGTGCTCTCTCGATGGCGAGGTCCATGCCGCTCATATCCTCCTGATGCCCCCAACGGCCTCCGAGGCGGCGGTGTCCCCCTCCCTCCTCTTGGCATGGCTGTCTTCGTAAAGTCAGACCTGCACAACAGGCGAAGGAGACAACAGGCACACATTGGGGTAAGCAAACAGGTGATAATCGAAGCAAGCTCAGACCAGACCACACTCATGCAGCATACAACCTATCCGACCTACATAACCTATCGCTTCTATTCTAGAGGTAGTCAGATCATCTCTCTTACCTCTTCTCTCGCCACAAATTTCTTCAGTCGCGTTCCAGATACCCAATCCTTCCACTCAGCCCCATTCAACTCCTCAATCTGGTATGCTCCGAAGTCTCCAACCCGTATGATCCGGTAGGGACCTAACCACCTCTTATCAAGTTTCCTGGACCACTGCATTTCCAGCGATGAATCGTAGAGAAGCACGATGTCCCCAACTGCCAGAGGTACTTTCCTCACCCGAGCAGACTGATCCCGTCGAGTCGTATCATCCATACGGCTTCTAGCCACTTGATCGGATGCCTCCTGGATCCTTTCCTCTATCGCTCCTATCTGTCGCGCCCGAATGTCGAGTAATTCCTCAAAGGACAGGTCAACTTCCAGATCCTGGCGCCTCCAAGTCTTGAGAAAACTTTCATTAGGGAAGGTGGCGTGCCTTCCGTACCACAGAGTGGCTGGCGCATACTTGGTGGATCTTTTCACTGTAATGTTCTCGACGAAGAAAGTCGCCCTTAGGTACCTTGGCCTTTGATTAGGCCTACCTTCGGTCCACTTAGCCAGGAGGCTCGTAATTGTACTATGCCCTTTCTCCACGGGAGCATTCGCCTGGGGGTGCGCGGTCGTGGTGTAGTTAGCTACTACACCATACCTTGATAGCAACTCCTGCACCTCCTGGCAGGTAAACTTTGATCCCCTGTCCATTACGAATTCCCTGACGAAAGGATAACGCAGGCAGTACTCCCCGATGCAACTAACCAAGACCGAACCAGTCTTGGCATGAATGGCACGCCCATCCACGAAGCCAGACAGGTTATCGCGCGCATCGAAGATGTAGTTATAGCCCTGATCCCCAAGCGGCATGAAAAGTAGATCGAGATGCACTACAGCCCCCACCTCTCGCTCTAGCCTTGGATGCAGCGGCTCTCCTTGCTTTAAACGGGATCTCTCCTGGCAGGGTACACAAGATCGGCAGAACTTCCCTTTCCCGACCATGTCCATCATCCCATCCCAGTAGTACAACTCACTTATTTTGGCATACGTGGCTTGTACCCCTCGATGCCCTCCGGCAATGCCGTCATGAAGCGCTGCTATAACGTCAATCTGACGGTTCCTACCGCAGACGACTCTCCTGGGATTCTCCACTTCTCTTCTCACGAAAAGGTGGCCGCCACGCACTAAGTAGCGTTGTAGCATCCTCTGAGCCCTATCGCTCGCATCCCTTAGCCGCATATCGCAAGACAAAAGAAGCCCCAGCTCTAGGTAGATCCCATCATACTCTTCTGCACGAAAGGTCTCCTTAATCTCCCCCTCCTCGAACTCGTCGTCCTGGCTCTGGGGCACTTCATCCACATTCCCTATCGGGTTCAACGAGCCTGATTGGTCGAGGCTTTCCTGCAATAACGTGTTGACGAGGAGATACATTCCTCCCATCAGGTCCTCATGTCGTTCTACCTGGCCTGGTCCTTCCTCGATCGTCCTCATGTCCTCCACCAGACTATGCGAACTAACCAGCGCCAACTCCATCATCCACTGAACATCCTTACCACCCCAGGGATCCTCTTCTTCAAAGGGTTTGAGGATTAGCTCAGCCCTATGTTCGTACCCACTCGGCGCTTGCCAGATAGGATAGCCTAGACAGCCGGGCACTCGCGGCGACCACTTGTTAATATGGAGACGAACATCTTCCTCCTGATCCAGAAATTCATCAAGTGGGGGCGTATTCTCCACCGCCTCCCCTTCCTGCTTATCCCAGTTGATCCGGCTTAGTCCGTCTGCCCGGTTCTTACTGCCAGGAATCCGCTCCAACTCGAAGTTAAACATCCAGATGTACACCAGCCATCTGGCAACCGTCGGATCCGATGGAACGTAATTCCTTAGAGAGTAGGCCAGGGCGGTCGGGTCCACTCTGAAAATAAACCTCCTGCCGAAGATGTAGTTCCGGAAGATCCGCAGACAGTGGAGGACGGCAAGGGTCTCCCTCTTAAACTGAGAGTAGTTCCTCTCGGTCGTACAGAGAGTCCGACTCTCAAATCGCAAGGGTCTTTCCTTTCCTTCCATGTCTGCCTGAATTAGAACTCCCCCTAAGGCAGTCGGCCCTGCATCCGTTTCGACAATGAAGGGTCGTGTCTCCGTGGCATCATAATCTGGCGCCCCTAACACCAACCCTCCTTCTCGAAACTCCTCCTTCATTCTGGCCACCACCTCTTCTTGCTCTTCACCCCAAACCCATTCCTGATCCTGACGAACTTACTTCCTCAGGTGCTCGGTCTTAGCGGCAAAGTTCTTGACGAAGGCCCTCCAAAACCCACACGTACCAAGGAAGCTCCTGACATCAGTTATTGAGTGGAACGGAAATGGCCACTCAGTAATCTTGTCTGTCTTCTTCACATCCGGCCTTCGGCCTTTCTCGCTGCAGACAAACCCCAAGATAGTCGCTTCCCTCATGCAGTGTCTAGATTTGGCCCCGCTTGCCGTGAGGTTATGCTCCTCGAGCAGGCTCAGGACCTTTTCGAGGTCCTGGATGTGCTTCCACACAAAGCGCCTTACCTCTGGCGAGACTTCGTCGTTCTCCTTCACTGTCGACCCCTTCACCGCCAAATCGTCGATGTATGGCTGTGTGATATGGGGGCTGACTGACTGCATAGCCCGGATAATGGCCCGTTGGACCATTGCTACCGCGTTAGTCCATCCTTGTGGGGCTACGTTCATGTGGATTAATCCTCGCGGCGTGTGCATAGCCGTCACCGGCCTGTCCGGCGGATAGACCGGAAACTGATCATATCCTGAGTAAAGGTCTATAAGTGAAATTATAGGCCTTCCAGCACAGGATTCTGACAGAGCGTCCGCATTCGGCAGTCCTCCAGCATCCCGCACGGTCACCGCATTTAGCCTCTGCAAGTCTTGCACCCACCGCAGCGTCCCGTTAGGTTTGATGAAGCAGAACCACGGGGACGCATACGGTCCACTTGAATAGTCGGCGACGTGCGTACGTATCTTGCCGTCAAGGTAATCCACCACCTTCTTTTCCTCGTCAGGATTAGGGTATCGCGCCCCTCTCATGTTCCAAGGCTCATGTGGCACGGTGTGGATGCGGATCATAGGTATCCTGTCCACATTCAGCCTGCCACGCTCTTCGTCACTAAACGCATAGGCGCGATGCCTCCTTTTCATTAATTCCACCATCAACGCTCGCTCCTGAGGCAGTAGGAAGTCGGGTTCCCCTATAATCAACTTCCCCTCATTCCCTTCGTTGATACGACATGGTCCTGCTAGAGCACTCTCCCTCATTCGCCGTATCAACCCTCGTTCCCTCTCATAGTATGCTTCCTCGTCTTCCGTAACGAGGACGGGAACCGGGCGGCACTTCTTGTCTACCGTCTTGTACCGCCTTTGGGAACCCTACTTGAGTCGTCCCCTATAAAAGGTCGACTCACAAATTGCACCCGCGCGGACGCGAGGTTCCTCCTTCCGTCCTGAAAACGATATACCAACTCCAATCTCCCCGCCTCGAGGCACTCCAGGACTTGCTCCCTCAAGGCTTGAATGGGATCCGGATTTGCCATCTCATGTGCGGCCACCAAGTCCATGGCCCTCCCGACATCCGATAAGCTAAGGGAAAAAGTTTTCACCTCCTCTTCTACTTCCGGCTCCGCTCGAAGCCTTCATCGCTCGCTCTCCGATTCTTCAATCGTGAAGGATCCTGGGTTGGGCCGGTTCCTTATACTCCTCAGTCCTGTATTTCTGCAGGTAATTATCTCATAATTCCCCCAGGCAGGGTCACATAGGAGGAGGATCAGAGTCCCGTCATGCTTGTTAAACATCACGGTTTCTGCCCTACTCAAAAATTACCTTCCTAGGAGGATCCCGTGGTCCACGTCAGGTATGATGAAGAAGCAAGCTCGGGCCTTCACCTTTCCAACCTCGATGAGTACATTCGAGGCTGTCCCACAAAACACGGCCTTGCAGCTGGCTCCATGCAAAATACCGCAGTCAGACCGGTCTATGTCCAGCCCGAATCTGATAGCATCCTCCTCCCGGATGATGTTCATTTCCGCCCCGGTGTCCACCATTGATGCACACTTGGAACCCTTCACCACTAAATCCACCGTGTCGCAGGCCACACATTTCCAATCCATCTTCGTGCCTGACTCCGCCCACTCTGCCTCCTTGGGCAGAATTGTACCCAGATGGACGTTGGGCACCAAGCGCCGTGACAACCTCCCTTTCAATTCATCGCGGAGTCGCGGGGCTGACGCCAGGATTTCCTTCAGAGTCATGAGGTCATTGTGCCCTTCTAGCAGCCGGTCGATCACTCTCTCCACGTCAAACCCCTCCTCCAACCAAACCGCATACTTCTTCCTTTTGGGTGGTCCGTCGCGCACAACCGGCTCGACCTCTTCCCTGGCTCTCTTTTTCCTTGCCCGCTGCTCCGCTCTCTGATCTTCTTCTCTGCGCAGCCTCTCGTCCTCTTCCTCCTCATTGTCGTCATCCTCCACTTCCATAGCCTCCTTCTTTTTCCCTGGCTCTATCTCCCTCCTCGAAGGTTCTAGGTTGGCACTGACCTTGGCCTGACTTCTCGTTCGTGCCGCCTGTGCCAGCCGGGTCTACGGAGTGAGGGGTCTCCCCATCATTCCCGACTGTGGACTCAACCCCACCACATTTACTCCGGGTCGCCCAGTCGCTGACTCCGAGCCGGAGTCATAGAGGAACACCTTGGGGACGATAGACCTCCATTTCCTCACTTCGTCGCAAAGGTCTACCAACTTCTGCTGGTACCTTCCCACCTTGTTCAGTAGGTCCTCCATCTTCCCCAATAAGACGGATGGCGGTTCCATCCTTCTTTTCTCGTCCTCATCATCTGATTCGATGATTATGGGTTCTTCCCTCCTACTTCCTCCACGTGGTCCTTGAGCCACTTCCTCGTCGCTCCCCACTTCCTCTACCCCAATCGGTGGTTCCTCCTTTTCTTGCCATAGCCTGAATTCCTCTATCCCCACCGACGGTCCTTTCTTCTCCTGCCATAACCTGAACGTGGCAGGGGGTGGCGCCCCGGCTGCCGCCCTTCGTCGGGCTTCCACTCTCACTCCTCCAAGCCTTCTGTCAATGGCCTCCCCAAACTGATCGTAAATGTTCCCATCCATAGTGGAGGAAATCAGCCTGCTCCTCTCGTCTTTCCGTCTTATATTACAAAACCTTATATTGTGGCCTTGCTGGTCACAATGTTGGCAGATGGTTGTCCTCCAGTCAAAACGGGGTCTCCCATACCCCAGACTTCCCTGATCCCCCTGGCCTTGCTACCCCTGGCCTTGATACCCCTGGCCTTGGTACCCCTGGCCTTGGTTTCCTCCGTCTTGACCATTCCATTGCCCTCCTCTTCCACAGCCATTCATGCCTCCCCCCCTTCCTCCACCCCTCTCTCCGTTGCCTTGATTGCCCTACCCCTGGTTCCCACCTCCAGCCACGCTTCCCTGTGAACTGGGAGCAGGTGACGACGGCGGGGCCACAGGCTGGGCCTGGACTGCGGGGTAGATGGGTGGCGGCATACTCATTTGCGGCCCGGGTACTGGCGGCGGGCTACCCCATAGGCCATTGTCCGTAAGAGGGCGCCCCTCCCTGCAAGGGGCCTGCACTAGACGATGGAGCCGCTACATTTGGAGGAGCCGCCGCCAGGGCCTGGGTCGCGTGCCCCTTTCCTGACCTCTGCCCGCCCTGTGCCAAGTTACGCACTTTGCGCTGGGCCTTCGTCAGGTACGACGGCACCGGTTCTTCCTCTTCCCAGAGCTCTTCCTCAACGGCCTCTCCCACCACTGACTCTTTTCCTTTCACCTGAACCGCCGTCACTACCCTTCTCTGCACCACTGGCTCTGTCGCATACCCCAGTTGCGCCAACACGTCTGTAATAATCCTTTTTACCCCCGGGGTCCCAGAAGCGGTCGCATCTCTTTTCTTTCTCTTCTGCCTCTGCAGGCATACCTGACGTTGCTCCACCTGGTCCAAACATCCAACTTCCACCCCTCTGTCAATGGTGGCCCAGGTGAGCTTGGTGCTACCCCCTCCATGTCTTGTCAATTCGACGGCCTTCGATGCCGTGAGTAGCCCCAGAAAAATGGAGCACTGCGCCTCCTCTGAAATCCCATGGACCTTCCGAGCCCTTTTCTTGAATTCCTGAACAAAGGTCCCTATCGTCGTAAAGTCCTCTTTGTTCATCGCCTCAAGGTCCGTAGTGGTCAACAATCCGTCTCCCAGGCGGTACTTCCTTTGCATTCCCTCCTTGAACCTTTCCCAGCTACCTTGAGCCGCATCTATAACTTTCTTCACTTCTTGGTGGTAGCTGTGGAGAACATACTGGAGAATTCGCTGAAACTTTACAACATCCGACCGCTCGACCACAGCTTGTTCCACCCGCTCCAGCCATTCTGAGACTCTCTCCCCACAAAAATGGAAGGTATCGACCTTGGGGATATTGCTCGGATTTCTTTCATGCCTGTCAATAGCCGCGATGAGGTCATCGAGCGTCAGACCCTTCTTGGGACCACTCGATGCGCCGCCGCCCTGCGACATCTTGACAGACTCTTCTCCTAAAGCTTCCTGACAAGAGAAAACAAGCACACCCCCTTATTCAGCATTATACCCTGACCGGTCTATTCCACCTGCTCTACCTAACCCTTACTGCATACTTTACCCAATGCTAACAAGATCGTCTCTCATAACTTCCTCTAGCTCAGATAGGTAAACTTTATCACCTATACTTAGTCACTCAGTATTTTTCCTTACCTTCTCGTCATTCTTTTATGTCTTTTTCTCATTCACTTCTCATACCTTGATGTCGTTTCACCAAGGACAACGGTAGGCTTTCCGTTATCCCCGGCAACGGCGCCACGTGTCGTGCGCATCGGTCCGGCACCACACGGGGCAGCGCGGAACCCTCCCAGCCGCGTCACACAGGAGTTGGATAAAATCCTTCGTCGCAATATACATGGAGCTTCCACAAGCCGCTCCGGCCGAGTGCGCCAGCCATACCTCTCGCGAGCCCCTACGACAGGATAGGGCCTACGCGAGGCACAACTTACCTCCACCTTACGGGAG